TCTAAAAAAATGCAAATGTCCCCCTCTCCCAAAAAAAACTTCACCTTCTTCCCACACCTCACCCCCACGCCACCGTCACTTGCCAGCCATTTTCAGCCACCTTCCGGTTAGCTTGGCCGTCTGACCAATATACAAACTTGAAGCCCTCACTTTCTCTTCACAACCCACCCAACTACTGGCCGAAAATCTAAAGAAATTGGCCAAAAAATCGTGCCAAAATAGGCTACCCACGTAACTTTAACAGCAAAATCGACAAATTCAACTCTATTTTTTGACGTCGACGTCATGATCGATGACAGATGACCACCCCTCCTAGCACCGCCTCTTCAAAGAGAACCTAATGAACTTATGGGTTATTGTCAATTTGAACAAAAAATTGTAGAACCAGGTGATTTCTTCAACAACGAAATCAACAACTTCAAAGACATTTTTCGTCGCCAGTGTCATCATTGACGATCGCAGACCACTCCTTCTAGCACCGTCTCTTCAAGGTGAACCTAATGAACCTATGGGTCATCGTCATTTTTGGCCAGAAATTGTAGAAACAACCTCGATAGTTCGTACACAAAGAAACTCGGCCGATCCCCTTTCGATTGATGATGCTATAGGGATTCAATCCACCAATTCTAGCATGTAATCGTCAACTAATGTTGTCACAACTTGGGTCCTCCATCAATTGCATCAATTCATCAACCAAACGATCAATTTTCAAGATTGAACTCAAGAACTACCGGCCGAACGCAAACTTCGATTTTCTGGCTGTAGATTTTCATTTTCAGCTTTGTTTGATGATATGAAGACATCTATAGGAGCGCAATGAGGAGCATAATCAACCTGGAGGATGGGTGTGCCATGGATGTCGTTGGAAATGGAGTTTTCGGCCTCCATTTTTGGCCACTTCATGTTGCGTGAGCAGCTAATTTTGGCGTAATGTTTCAGCTAATTCCTTTAGATTTTCGGCCAGTGGTTCGATGGGTTGTAAAGAGGGAAGTGAGGGCTTCAAATTGGTATATTGGTCCGACTGCCAAGCTGACCGGAAGGTGTCTAAAAGTGGCCGGCAAGTGATGGTGGTGTGGGAAGAAGGTCAAGTTTTTAGGCGGAGGGGGGGAGGGCATTTGCACTTTTTTAGAAGTTTTGCCTATAGTTGCAATTTTTTCTTTTCTTTTCTTTTTACTTTTATTTAAAGAGTAGGGTATATTGGTCATTTTACACCCAACAAACAGTGAAAAGGACATTCGATGCAAAGAAATGTGAAAATAGGGGTAAAAATGTCAAAAAATAAAAGGTAGGGACGTTTTCCACAAAAATCTTGAAATGTATGGACATTTTGTGTTAATTACCCTTATTTATATAATTCTTTACACAAGACTGCAACCTGCAGTTGAACAATAATTTTTATTATTCGTTTTTTGGTGCAATACAGTTTGTAGAATATCAATGTCCCTGTGTAATCCGCACCATGTCTTCATCAAACTATTAGAACTCAAGAAACCAAAGGTCAGTGCTTGATTTTAAAATA